CCCTTGGTTCGCCTTGGTGACCTCTCTGTAGAGTCGACTCTTGGATCACTCCTTCCTTCGGGCTGCTCTCCTCCTCCCGTTTCCCCCAAACCCTGCTGTGGTTTTCCAACCTCTGACAGCCCCTTCTCAGCCTTAACTGAGAGCCTGCCCTGGGGTTCTTTCCACTCCTCCTCTTCATTGCCATCTCTGGCCTAGATCTCAGCCCTGAGCTCTAGACCCATGCAGAGAGCTGCATGCTGGCTCGCTCCACTTGGGGCACATGTCACCCTCCCCTCTGCGCCTGCCCTTTCCTCTGCTCCCCAGTGGTGAGTGGCACCATTAGGCTCTCATGGCTCCAGTGAGAAACCTGGGGACCCCTCTGAATCTCCGCTTCAGCTTCAGCCTTAACAAACATCGAGCCCTGCTACGTTCTCTCATACCACCCGCTCCTCTCCAGGCGAGAGCTCGCTAAACTTTCCTTCTGGCCACAGCTAAGCCAGCTCTTTCGTGGAGTCTTGCCCACCACCAACCACTCCTCCATCCTGCTGTGGGATCATGGTCTCAGCCTCCCTCTCAGGGTCAGAAAACAGAGTCTCTAACATAACTGGCCCTAGCCCTTTCCTCCTGGACCTCTGCCCCCATAGACTCCAGCCATGGACAAGGCGCTCTTGCTCACCTTTAGGCTCTTACAAAAGCTGTTCCTCTTCCTGGAATGCTGCCCCTTCATCCAATGGCTTGCTAACTCCTACTCATGTTTCAAAGCTGCAGCAAGGCCACTTCCTCCACGACACCTTCCTGAGTCCTGCAGGCTGACTAAGGTAACCCTCTCTCTGGGATCTCCTAGCATCCTGCACCTGTGATGGTTACCCAAACTGGAAGCTTCAGGCCCCTAAATCAACTAACCTACCCCTGATAATTCACGCTTACTTCACAGAGGAGTCAGATCATTCAGGAGTAGGAAGCAAAATGGCTTGGGTCAAAGGCCTGAACTCCACTAGAGAAGGGCTCACCCACATCCAGAGAGGCCTACTCTGTTACTTAGGAGAGGGCCATGGATTCAGGCTCACAACCTGGGAAGTGACAGAACCCAGGCAGGGGCAGGGAGTAGGGAAAAGGACATATCTCGGTCTATCCTTCCCACCTAGGAGTTTGCATTAGAGAAGCGGGTATAAATCCACCTCTAATGCCAGGGGAGGGGGGAGTACCAGTGAGGTGTAAAAACACCCTGAACGAGGGGCCAGGAGTCCTTGGCTCCCGGTGTGACTGACCCCCTGCAGATAAGGGTCTCTAGAGCTCTCATGGATGCCATTTCCTCACCTGAGAAATGGGAAGAGCTCTATTTTACCCACTTCATGATGTCAAGAACATACCAAGTACAGACATGAAGCCAACTCCAGAGAGAAAAAAACTTCTAAAAAAGAGGCGATTATAACTAGAAGTGCTGCTGGCATACAGCAGGGCCAGCTGAGGACACTGGAAAGCTATAACTACCTTCTCTCCCATACCTCTGGGAATGGCATCACCACCTACCGCTAAAACGGCAGACTTGGCAGCCTAGACTCCTGCCCACGTACTACCCACATATCAGCACTGGTCCTGGGCCTTCCCTTCGTGGTTCACTTCCATCTTCCCTACTAGATTGGGAACTCCTTGGGAATAGAGAGGGAACAGTGTCTTTCATCTCTGTTCGGTGTCTGACACACAGTGGATGCTCAGGGAATTTGAAGGACTTAATGCATAGGCCAGTGCTGGAGCCTGCCCTGCTCATCAGAGGCAGCAGCCACCTCTGCTTCCCGCTACTTCTTCAAGCAGGCTTCCTAAAGCACTGGCGGCCCTGTGGACTTTGCTGCACCTGCTGAATCACACACTGTCACAGCCCCCCCCACCCCGCCGCCCCCCGCCCAGTGACCTGTGTCTGCAGATGCAGATCTCAGCTCTGGTCACCACTCACCAGCTACCCAGTGAAGTCACGGCCTCATAATTCTTCTAAAACAGACCAATGCCACAGTGACCACAGTCACACGGGCATCCACTGTCGACTCAGCACAGACCTAAGAACAAGGGGGCCACCCCGAAGGCACAAATGCAAACCAGTGAAGCACCTGATGAGACCAGAGACCCTTTCTTCTGAGGGTCACGTACATGGAAAGCACTTTTCTTTTCTTTTTCTTCTCCAATGGTGTCTCCGTTTTCCTCTCGGACCTCAGTACTGGTCCCTCCTCTGGCTCTCTGCCTACAGCAGCCTCTCACCCTGGGGCCTGTCACAGAGGACTTGGGCCCCCATTTGACAAGCTTCACTGCCCCTAGCCCTTAGTGACTAAGTGCGCCAGCTCTCATCCCTTCCCCTGCCAACCTACATCACCTCTCCCCACCCCATTCCTTACCCCCTGCACTTCATCAGCATCATCCCCCAAACCCCTGGCTTGTGGGGGCACCAGCTGGTCCAAGATCCCAAAAAGGAGGTGGCTTCAGAGCCAGTGCCACAGAAGGCTCATATCTTCAAAGCCTCCCTCATCCTGCCCGGGTGAAGTCGCTGCTCACTCTCTCATGGAGGGGCTGAGGCTGCACCATGAACACCTCAGCCCTTGGGCTGTGCCGCTCCCTTTAACCCCTTCCTCCTGGAAAGTGTTCTCGGGTGGCTGCTCACCTGGCACTGGACTGTGGCTCCTCAGCTGGTCGTGTCTCCAAGGGCAGAAGCACAAGCGGGGAGGCTGGGGTGGCTGCAGCGTGGTCGTCCCCAAGTGGGGCAGGGGAGCCCCCATTGGGGGAGGCTGGCTCCCTGGGGGGCGGGGAGGAAGAGGTCAGGGGCCAGGATCCAGGTAGGGGAGAGCACGGAGGGCTGGGCCCCCCATGGCGGTGGCTGGCCCAGGGCGGGAGAGGGGGCGGTGGAAAGGCTGGCTCTGGTGGGGTGGGCAGCTCTTCTGGGCCAGAGTAGATGGACGATTCCCTGGACCCCGGAGGGGATGTGGACGGGAGGCTGGGGGGATCTTGGCTCCCATGAGATAAGAAGGGGTTCAAGGCATCCTCCTCCAAGGCCCACACAGCAGCCTGTTGGGAGCTGCCTGGAAGGGGCCCAAGCTCCTCTCCTGCTGGTCCCTGGCCCTGGGCCTCAGGCGCCTCGGGACCTTCTCCTCTCTCCAAAGCCCCCCAGATCTGCTGACTCTGAGGATCCAGGCTCTTTGAGTAACAGGGTGTGGGGGCAGGACCCTCAGGGCAGCTGGTGGACAGAGACAGGCAGCGCCCAGACGCAGGAGGGCTAGCATCCTCTACTGGCTCTTCCAGGCTTGGTTCACCCAGCAAGGTTCCCGAAGAACAGCTGTCAGACTCTGAGCCTGGCTTCTTGCCCTCCTCCTTGGCCTCCTGGGGACCAGCAATCAACGCACTTGAGAAGGCGTCTTCGTCTCCTGTCTCTGTGCCCTTGCTACTCAGTCCCCCTGCAGGCTTCTCCTCCTCCTCCTCCTGAGAATCTGAGCACGTGAAGAGGCGTGGTGGTTTGGGAGGTGGAGTACTGGGCTGCAGCCCCTTGTCTGACACCCACTCGGGTGTGGGCTCTGGCTCCAGCTCCAGTGGTGGAAGCCCCTGGACACCCTTGAGGCTCACAGGTTCTGGCGACTCTGGCTGCACCTGGGGAGGAGGCAGCTCATCAGACTCTTCTCCCCGTATGATTGGTGAGGACATCTCAGCTGCAGGAGAAATGGTGACCACATCCCAAGGCCACGAATTTTCGACGGTATTGAGCTCATGAAAAAGCTGGCTCTCGCCTCTGGAGGCCTCCTCATCCTGGCTCTTAGGGGCGTCATCTGGACCAGGCAGCCTCTCCCACACACTGATCACTTCTGGAGAGCTAAACAGAGATGTCGCACTGTCTGCTGGACTTTGTCCTGCTTCCCCTCCTGGCACCGTTGGCTCCCTGTCTGCTTCGGCGTCTGAGGCTTGTGGGTGTAGCAAGGCTGACGTGGAGGTCAGGCTGGCCCCTACTGACCCGAGGGGCCCCAGGTTGGCCACACTCGTGCTCTGGTGATCCAGTCCCAAGTCCAGAGGAACTCTGGGTTCCAGCCACACGCTGCTCCCACCTCTTCCTCCTCCCCCAGGGTCTCCCTGGGGCTCAGCTGCCTTCACTGTCATGGCCCCGGGGCCTGGGTCTTGCAGCCCAGTCGCCTCCAGCCCCACTCCTGCAGGGGCCAGAATCTTGCTCCTAGCCTCTGGACGCAGCCTGCTGGCAGTAAAGACGCTGAAGGTGTCTTCCCACTCAGGCGGGGCTTTCCCAGGGGAGGCCAGGGGTGTGGGGCTGGCCTTCGAGGCACTGGGGAGAGAGGGAGCAGGTGAAGGAGAGTTTAGTGCTATGTCGGCTAAGAGTTCTTCGAAGAAAGGGTTGCTCTGCAAGGAGGTGAGGAACGGGTTGGTGAGACCCAAGAATCCAGATGGGGTGGCTTCAGGGGCGGCGGTGACAGCAGCAGCAGTGGTAGCAGCAGGGGAGGCGGCTGCAAAAAGGTTAGTGCTTAGCATGGGAGCAGCGGTGGGAGCAGGAGTAGGGGGGGCCGGAGCACAGGGGGAGCAGGGGAGGTGGTGAGGAGGAGCAGCTGGGTCAGGTTCTACCTGAGGAGACACGTCCAGGCTGTGGAGGGAGACAAAACCGTGAGCCTCCTGGTTAATGCCAAGACTGCTGAATGCCCCTGCTGAATACCACACACCCCTGCCCCCCACCTGCCTAGGGAGGAGGTGTTTTGGCGCATGGGCTGGGTTCAGGCACGTGTGTAGGCCAGGGGACAGAGGGAATACTGCACCGTATAACATATATTAGGGATCACCCAAGGAGGTAGCTGCTGTACAGAGTTCATTTAGTCCTCATGCCAATCCTAGGGAGCATTTTACTGGCAGGATCCCGACCTAAACCAAGTGTTCTTTCCACAACTCTGTGCTGAAGATTCCACTCAATGCCAGAATTATGCCTGAAGAGGCAGTTGGAAAGTGCCTTATATCCCCTCAAGGACCAGAAAAGGAAAGGAAATACTAGCTGGCTTGAAGAGGATAGAGACCAGAGAAAGGCCAGCCTAGGTTTTGGCTGGACAAAGACAGCACTAATAGAGAAATGACTGGCTTCTCCTGACCCCTCGCAGTAACAGGAGCTGATGATGGGCTGTCATCAGGTATAACGAGGTATCAGTACATAACAGGTAAAGGAGGACAGCAAAACACTGCTGAGGACATCTACCGTCAGGCGTCCACATGGCCCGGCACCTGGCAGATGGTGCCCCTCACCAAGGGTACCCATGTGCCAGTCTTGAAAGTAGCCCTGCTGTGGAGACAAAGGCTGGAACGTGGAACAGAGGCAGCAGCAGCAACCCTGGATGTCACCAGGGGCCTCCTGAGGTCCCCCACACAGATCCCTGGCTCCCCTTGGAAATCCATGCCATGGCAGTGAACCTACATGCCCAAAGACACTGGAGAACAAACACCTGCTGGCCTACAAGTGTCCCCTCTAGGGTCTTCTCTGGGAGGGGGCATCCCCTGCACTTGTATCTTATCTACAGTGTGCAGCTAACTTTACAGATGTGGGCAGGAGCAGACTCTGTAATTAGAGCTCTCAGCTTCCCCCAGGACATTCCCAGGACATAGACAGAAGGCCAGAAAGACAGCGCAGGACCCAGCACCCCAGTCTGCAACAGTCCGACTGTGGTTTGCAGTTGTCTTGAGGCTGAGCCCACCTGTGGGACCCAGACCTGAGTGGCCTCACCTGCTATCTGAGCCCCATCTCCCAGGCCCCACTCTAAGCCCCAAGACTCCCAATCCTTGGCCCCTGCCCAAGTGGAAACATCCTGGGGAACTCCTACACATCCATCTTCTCCATTCAAGCTGCCTCTTCCCACAGGGAAATCCTGGGGGTGGGCCATGAGGTGGCAGAAACCAGGCTTCACCAGTCAGCCCATGAGGACTGCAGGTTGGGAC